TGTTGGACTCCAGAGCTCCAGCTCTTGACAGGGATGTCACATCATACAACTGCAGACTGAGAGTCAGAAACTCTGGGCTTAGGGCTCAGATATCTGCGTCCTTTAAAGTCCCACCCTATTCTCAGGTGTCCTAAAGCACACCCGAGGTTGAGAACCCCTGAGCTGCCCCAACCACCTGATTGTACAGATGGAGACTCGGACAGCCTGAGCGGGCACAGCACTTGCACAGGGTCACACCGCAGGTCGGAGAGCCTAGAACCCTCGCCCCATTCCCTGGTGAATTCTCAAGGTGAGTGTTCGTGGAGCCGATCTCAGTGGAGGCATGAGGAGATAGAACTGTCCGGGGCTGCACATCTGCAGCCGCCCAGAGGGACCGCCTGATGGATTCTGTTTCCACCTCCGCATCTCGAGGCCTCTTTCTCCCCCTCCTTCCTCGGGGCAGCCCCCCTTCTCCTCCCAAGCGATGCTTTGGGGGCGAAGATGGATCACAGCTGTCCCTGGCCACAGATGGTGCGTCCACCACGCTGTGGCAGCCACCACAGCCCCGGACACCCAGCAGTGGCTCAGTGAGTGATTATGGAAGGGAAGGAGGCAGGGCCTGGGGAGGGGCATGGCTCCAGGACAGGGCCGCAGTGGAAAGCACAGCATCTTCCTCTCAAGGCAGCCCCAGTCCAGGCCCTGTACTGTTCTTCCCAAGCTTCAAATCACACATGTCACACCAACCAAGAAAGGACATGGGCATCTCAAACAGTGAATAATGCTGGAAATGGGCAGGCACCTTATACTTGCAGATGGAGCCTTTGCCTCCCCAGAGAAAGGGGTGTCTGCCCCATTTCTTAGAACATGGCAGAGGCTTTTAGGGTTGTGGGAGAAGGCAGGCCAGGGCAGCCTCCCTTCACAGTGAGCCTGGGTCCTCCTAGGTGGACTCTCACCTGACTGGATGCTGTGATCCCATTTCTGTCTCTAAAATGGTTAAATCTCTGGCCCAGGCTGGCCCCACCCAAAAGCTGGGATGGCCCCGCCCACAGGAGTCTGTCCTCATCCTGTGGACCCTTCAGCCACTGACCTCCTTCCCTTCCCCAGCCTCTTTTACAGCCTGAAATCCTCCTCAGCCTTCCCCCTTTGGCTGTTAAAAATCTCCCAAGGGTTCCTGGGGACCGGCTTTAATGTGACATTGTGTCTGAAAGCAACGCTGGCCATGAGCACCTCCCTGGACCTTTGTGAGCACAGGGTCCTTGTGTGTAACTGGGCATCCTCACTCCCCCTCACAGGGCCTGACCCCCCTGGGGGTCACAGGGAGCCCATAGGGGTCCCGGAAAGCCCTGACACTGCACCTTGTCCAGGAGGCCCAGCAAACAGGAGTTACTTTGAGAACCCACAGGGACTCAGACCTGGACATCTGAGAAGCAAAAGTCTTGTCCTGTGAGGCTCCAGTCCCTCAGGCAGGTGGGCCTCTGCAACCGCCCCCTGGTCCCTCTCATGCTGGGGCCTCCTGACTATGATTTTGAACCTGGAGCACAGGGGCAGATGGGATGGCACCAGCTGCCCTGACTCCGTGCTGGGGGCTGCTGGCCCCAGCCTGCTTCTTGTGTTTGTCATGAGGCTTCCTGGGCACCCGGGATCTGATTTGACTATCAAGTTGCTGGGAGTCAGGGGCCCCAGGCCAGGGCTCTGGCTGGGGGGACAGGCAACCCCATGGGTTGCTGGGGTGCCAGTCAGGTGACTTCAGGAAAGCGACTGGATGATGAAGACTCCCAGCCTGGGATGCGTTCCATTTCTTGGTACCCTGTTCCCACCTGCAGGAATCTGTCCTGGAGATGGTCAGGGACTCAGGCAAATGGTGCCCAAAACATTCATGGCAGCCTGATGTGTGTAAGAACAGTCCCGGAAGCCTCCGAGCATCTGACAGTCGAGGATGGTGAGGTAAATGATGGTGCATCGAAATGAAGTACAATTACGAAGCTATTAACATCATGCTTTTGAGGAATTTTCAATGATGTGGGAAAATGCTGATGATAGAATGGTAAGGGAAGAGAAATGAGTATACAGTATGGTCCCAATTACATAATATTTCAGTACTGCAGAGAGAAAGATCAGATGATGATGATGACGATGATAATCATGATGATGGTGATCATCAGAGCTGCTATTTATTGAGCACTTGCTGTGTGCCTGCCTGTACTTCCGTTAGCTCATTTCACCTCATCACGCCCCTGTGCGATGGCAGTGGCAATAACCCCCTTTTACAGATGAGGAGAATGAGGCACAGAGAGGAGGTTAGTGACCTGCCAAGGAGCGCACGGCTGAGACAGGACTTGAGCCCAGGTCTGGGTGCCTTTGAAATCCACTCTGTCTTCTCTACCACTATCCGCGTCTGCCAGGCTGCAGGCAGGGTGTGGGGCCGGCTGTGAAAGGCGCCCCAAGAGCTCCTTGGAGGACGTACTCATTGCAAGTTGCTCCTCGTTTCTGAGATTGATGTCACTACCAGCCCCGTCTTACGGACGGCGACTCAGGGACCTGGTGATGGTGAGGGGTCTGGACCAGGTTCATGGGCTGTACCTCCCATGTTCCTTCCTCTATTGTGAGTGGCTGGATGGGGCTAGAGAGGGGCAGGCACAGTCATGGACCACCAGAGCATCATACCCAGGAGGAGGAGGTGGCCACTGGGCCTTCACAGCACTGCTCTGGGCATGAGCGACTGAGGTAGAGAACTCAGCCTGGCACCCCATCTGCCCAGGCCAACCCACCCCTCCTGGGGCAGCCCCGCTGCCTCCCCTTGGCTGGTTCTGTCCCTGCGGAGTCTTTGAGTTTATCCAAGTGTCTCTCCTATGAGCCATACCCAGCAGGTGAAGGCCAGGCGGGAGGAGGGGAGGCAGCCTGCCAGTGGCTGCCTCGTAACCCACTCTAGGCTCATTAGAGCTGCTTTTGAATCCATCACCTTCAGAGAAAGGCAAACTGCAGGGCAGGAGGATCCAGGAACCATCCGTCACTCAAGGGCTCCTCACATGGGGAAGCTGCAGTTCTGTCCCTGATTCGCTGATGAATCGTTGAAATTTTCCTCAACACTGATTCCTGCCAGACACCCCACCACCACCGCTACCCCTAACTCATAGTACCTGCATCTCCTGTGCCAAACTTAGGCCTTGCAGAAAACCAGCAGCAGGGCTGGCTGGCGGGCTCTCTCTCCAGGCCGATGTACCCATTCGCACACTGAAAAGGAATCACATAAGGCCACCTGGATCTCATCCTCCCCACCCCGAATGTGTGAATCTCATCGACTGCTTGTATTGAGAGATCAAGATAGTCTCTGAAACGTGGTACAGCAGCCCGAGCAGAGGAGTGGGGCTTCCTGGAAGGAGGAGGGGGGATTTGTACATTATTCTCCCCACCTGCCCACTCCCTGCTGCCCCTTGTTACCCACAGCTCCCTCCTGGGGGTGCTTGGAACTGAATGCTTTAATATGGCCCTGCCGGTGTCTTGGCTACTGGAGACTGCTGCCCGGGCCTCTTTCCCAGCACAATCTCGGTTGCAGCCAGATCTCTTCTGGTAGCTGTCAGCAGGTACCGTGTGCATTCACAGACACTGAAAACCGGGGGGAAGTCAATGAACTCTGTGTGTGTGCATTTTTCCTTTACAAAGCATATTTCCTCCCCATTCTTCCCCGCCCTGAAAGTCTCAGGAAATGAGAAAATTGAGTCACAAAGAAGTAAGCTGTTAACTAGCTAGTTAAGAAACATGAGCTGAGCTCATGGTTGATTGATACCAAATCACTCCCTTCCCCTGAGAGAGAGGAGCCTAAAATCTCTGGGCAGAGCAGACAGAAAGGGGTGCATACGTGGGGCTGGGTAAAAGGTTTTAAGAACAAATCTAACCCCTCAGCCCGTGCCTGTGTTCCCTCAACCTAAGGGCTCACAAATGGCTGCCTTAAGACCATTCATCCCACCAGGGACCATTTTGATTTTATGAAAATCCCCTCTCACAATGAGCTTAAGTCCATTAGTTCATTCATTCATTCATTCGTCTGAGCACCTACTATGTGCCAGGCACTGTTCTAGGCCCCAGACACGCAGCAGTAGGTGCAATAGACATGTCTTTGTGGAGTCAACATTTTACTGAGGAGAAAAATGATAAACAAATAGCTACACAGCCAGTCGGGCAGTGAAAAGGGCAGAGGGGAACAAAATGCAGGGTAAGGGGAATGGGGGTGCTGAGTGGAGGGGTAGTTTATATTGGGTCCTTCTGGCCACCACCAGGGAATGTCCACTCCATCACTTGGCCCATGGCCACCCAGCTCACTTGTGCTAGGAGGTTTCCAGCCCCAGACTCTGAGGGTCTTGCTCATCTCCTAGAGTCTCCCAGCCTCCCACAGGCCCTCGGCCAGCAGATGGGAATGGCTGGGACTTCCTAGGGCCACTGTGGCCACTACAAGTGGCACAGAGTTTGCAAAGCCAGCCTGGTCTTTGCCTTTCCTTCCCTTGGCCACACTGTGCTGAGCATTTTAAAGTTAATTGGTTTTGCAATTAAAAGACGCAGAGAACAGGTGATGCAATTAATTTTACATAAATGTGTTCGGGAATAAAGTGTACCAGTCTTCCGTGCATCCTTAAATGGAGCCTGTGTTTACTTCCAAATGGGGTGCCTTCTAGGCATATCAATCTGGGCAGCTCACACAGCTCAACAGGGAGAACTCTTCATCCTGTCTGCCTTTTGGGGGTGCTTTGTGAGGTTCACTGGGTCTTGCCAAACATTATGGTTTAGGAGTAAACATAATTTTTTTCTGTCTTATACATGAAGACACGGAGGGTCAGGGAGGTGCAATGGCTCACCCAAGGTACAATGCAAAGCCGAGACAGAGGAGATAATTGAGGTACGAGAATCTCTGGCTTCCAGACTCATTGCTCTTCCTGCCCCACTGCATATTTAGAAGCCAAAAAGAGTGTATGAGTTTAAAAGAGAGAACTGAAGCCCTTTTGCCAAATAAAACAGCCTGGTGTATTTTAGTGTCCACTCTGTGCTAGCTCCACACTTGGCCCTCAATTTACATTGCCACGTCCAGCCCTCACAATAGCCTTCCAGTGGGGCACCATGTTCCAGTTTTACAGACGAAGAAACTGATGGTCAGAGAAGAGCAGTGGCCTGCTGCAGCCCACACAACAGGAGTTTAGAGCCTCAGTGTCCTCCGGCTTCTGGACAAGGCGTTCTTTCCACCCCATGTGTGGCTAAGGAAAGAGCTTCTGAAAGCGATGAGAGAGACAGAGGGGAACATAGGCCTTTTTCAAATACATGAAGCACATTTTTTAACACCCCTGCCCTATGTGTCTGAAGAGCATTTTCAACACTGACTAGAAACACTTTACATCTTTCTCATATTTGATCCCTGCAATAGCCTTCCAAGATAGAGGTCATCATTCCCATTTTACAGAGGAGGAAACTGAGACACAGGGAAATGCAATAAACACAGTCAGAATCATACAGCAAGCAAGTGAAGAAGGCAGAATTCAGACCCAGGTTCCCCTGACTCTAAAGCCCCTTTTGCACAGGGCAGCGCTGGCTCTGTGGTCCCTGTGGTGGACGGCGGGTTCCCAACACCACTGACAACACCATGAACTTAGGGAGAGACTTGAGGTGGGGCTGACCAGCCAGTCTGTTGTGTCTGCTGGTTGCAGGCTTAGATCCTGGCTCTGCTGCTTTCCAGCCACGGGCCTGGAACAAGTTACTCACCTCTCTGGGCCTCAGATTTCTCAGCTGTAAAATGGACTTATAATAGGATCTTGCAAATACAGGATGCTTTGGAGGATTGAGTGAGGAGGCACAGTTCTATCTTGGCCCTTTCTGGTTTTCTTTATGGCACGCACCTCATTCTATCATTGTTTCACTGTTTGTTTATTGAAGGGTTTTTACCTCCATCTACTTCACCCGAGCAACAGGCCCATGAAGGTATGGACCTCATCTGTCTCAATCCCAACTGTCTTCAAGTCACAGCATGGGGCCAGGCACATAGTAAGTATGAAAAATTGCAAGTGGATGCATTCATAAACTGGCACACAGTAGGTGAGGTGCTTAGTTAGTGGACATTTATTAGTGTTCTCTGAATCCTCTAGAGGCCCACGTAAGCAAGTTGCTAGGTGACCCTCTCCTGGTCTCTCCAAAACCTCTCCTGACTCCATGCTCCCCCACCCCTCAGCCCTCCCACCTCTGCCTCCCTTGGTGTTTCTCTGCAGCATGACCCTGAGGTTACTGGCCAGAATGGAGCCTCGCGGAATGTCCGGATTGAGATGAGCACTGTCCTTCAAATCATCTCCAGGATGCTGGTATTGCCCCAGCCTCTGGCTGGTACCCTCTGAGCTCGTTCATGTGTCACAGAAGCAAATCCTGAGCAATCCTGAGCCCCTTCGTCAGGCTGTCCTCTACTCTATTGGCGCCCCCTATGGCCCAGGGCCACACAGGAGGATCCTTGACCTTGCCTGGCCTTGAGTTTGGGTCTGTGTGACTTGGCAATCCTCCCATCCACTTGGCCAGACCCACCTCCTTACGATCTGCGGCAACACCTGGGGCCTCCATGTGCAGCCCAAACCTTACACCGACGGCCCCTGTAAGGCACCCCCTTCTTTTCTCCAAAAGGAAACACCCCAGGACTTTTCCCTACCCTCCCCGACCTGGCTCCCAGCCAGGCTCCTCACACCCAGCGTCTCTCCCAATGTCAGGATCTCTCTGACCATGTGGGGCCCTGAACTGAATGTCGCAGGCTTTTAATCAGCTCCCACTGTGTACTGTGCACCTGCTCTCAAATTGCCCAGCCCTGTGGGGAGCATCCTCTCCTTATTCCTGATGTGCCCCAAAGTCTCATGCTCTTAGCAGTCCAGGGAGGTCAAACAAGGTCTTTCTCTTCCTCAAACGCATCCCACACACTCCTGCCTCAAGGCCTCTGCACTTGCTCTTGCCTCTGCCTGGAGGGCTTTTTCCCCACATGTTGGAATGACTTGGACGCTGTTTGGGTGTTTGAACAAGACTATGGTTGAGGCCCCTGAAATTCTGATATCCTGTGATTCTGACATTTGACTCTCAGTTTTATAGTTTGAGATCTTATTAAAGTCAAGATTCGGCCGGGCGCGGTGGCTCAAGCCTGTAATCCCAGCACTTTGGGAGGCCGAGACGGGCGGATCACGAGGTCAGGAGATCGAGACCATCCTGGCTAACACAGTGAAACGCTGTCTCTACTAAAAAATACAAAAAACTAGCCGGGCGAGGTGGCGGGCGCCTGTAGTCCCAGCTACTCGGGAGGCTGAGGCAGGAGAATGGCGTAAACCCAGGAGGCGGAGCTTGCAGTGAGCTGAGATCCGGCCACTGCACTCCAGCCTGGGCAACAGAGTAAGACTCCGTCTCAAAAAAAAAAAGATTCTAAGACTCAATGCTACAAGATTCTAGGTTTTGACTACTGTGAGGTTCTAAAATGCTGCCGTTCTCAGAAGCGGCCTCTGTCACTGGGGAAACTCCCATCAGAAGACGCCATCATCTTAGAGTGGGTTTTCTCCTCTTCCCGGGTCCCCCAGCCAAGCCCACAACACACCATGTGAGTGTGGCACCTTGTGGCTTAGACACTGTCAATTATTTCTGCATTTCTGCCATCGCACACTCACCTTATCTGCATGCTCCAGTCTCCAGAATAAATATTAGATGATGATGAATCTTTGGAGATTATTTTATACATAGAAGAGCTAAGTCTTCCAGGCAGGTTTTTGATACAGGGCACTAGTCCTGCACTCTCTACAAGGTGTGACTTGTGATTGGGCCACAGGGAGCCCAGAAGAGGGAATAGAGTTCCTATTTCTTGCCCCAGGGACTGAGAAGAGCCTTTTGTCTGCAGAGGCTACAGGCTGGGGTGGGGACAAGGTAGGAGGGAGACTATCTCCCAGCGGGTCTGAAAGGAAAGAACTAGCTCGTGCTTTTTTGCTGTTGATATTACTACCCTCATTTTAAGGAAGAGGAAACTGCAACCCACAGAGGTTTTGTGAATTGCCTGAAGCCACAGACATAGCTAGAAGGTAACAGTCCAGTAACTTGCAACCCTCTCCTGTCTACAAAGCTCCTGCAAAGCTTGCGGGAGTTAACAGGGCGGCAAGTAGGAAACTGAAGCCCCATTCATTGATGTCAACTGCACCTTCTTACAAACCTCCTCCCTAATGCCACCCGAGTGCATCCTTCCCATTTAATCAATCTATAATGGTAATTAAATGTGGATTGATTATGAAAGGATGCATTTAATCACATGTAATGCACAATAACACAGGAGGTAAATCAGGGTTCTTATCAATACAATAACCTTGCAAGCATCCTGTGAAGTCCATTGCGCCCTCTGCACTTGGAGCCTTACAAGATATTGTCCAGCTCTTAATGATTACTAAATCTTTACAAATTGATGGCCAGATGAAATTAATTGACCACAGTGAGGGGTGTGTTTGACCCAGGCCACGAGTTCTATGGCCCAGTTGAGACAAGGTGGGAATGGGGAAAATTCTGTAACGGAGGCACCAGCCACATGGAACCCCTCTGGGGTCACTGTCCCTCAAATGGCTCTCACAGGGTCTCCATCCCAGCCCGGGTCTAGGCCACCATCCTCGCTCACCTGCACTGTAGCCTCAGCTTCAACTCTTGCTGGCTCTAATCCACCCTCTGCCCTGGCCACGTGAATGATCATTCTAGAAGGCCAGCCTCACTGAAAACCTGCTATGGCTTCCTATTTTCTAAAACTGCCTTAGCCTCACATTCAAGACCCTCGAGATGAGGGCAGGTTTCTCTCTCCATCTCATTCCCCTCCAGGGACCACCCTTGGTTCTGACCACACTGAGTGACGGTCCCAGCTTCCTGAACTAAGTTCTCTCAAGCCTATGGACTCTTGTACACCCTTCTCTTTGGCCCTCCCATTGTTATCCCTCTGGCCACTTCACACTCACTACTAAAACTCAAGTGGGAGCTCAGCTATGAGGATGCAAAGGTATAAGAATGACACAATGGACTTTGGGAACTCAGGGGGAAAGTTTGGAAGGGGGGTGAGGGATAAAAGACTACAAATTGGGTGCAGTGTATACTGCTTGGGTGATGGGTGCACCAAAATCTCACAAATCACCACTAAAGAACTTACCCATGTAACTAAACACCACCTGTTCCCTAATAACCTATGGAAATAAAAAAATTGAAAAATAATAAGTACATAAAATACATAACAACAACAAAAACAAAACAATTAAAAAAATAAGTAAAATAAAATACGTACTTAACAACAACAAAAACAAAAACAATTTGCTTTACCTCCTCCAGGAAGTCTTCCCAGATAGCCCCAGACTGTTTGTTCTAATAGGGCCTGAATCAGTTACCTATTCTTACAATAAAACTACCTAACAAAACCCAAAGAACCTCACTGGCTAACGTCAGAACACATTTATTGCTCGCTCCTCTGGGGTCAGCTGTAGGTTGGCTAGGCAGCCCTGCTGCTCTTGGCTGGACTCACTTACATGTCTGGGGGGTTCCCTGGTTGCTGGCTGATGTTGGCTGACCTTGGCTGATGTAGCTGAATTTGGATGGGGTGACGGGAGAAACCTGGCTCTGCTCCGTGTGTCTCTCATCCTTCAGAAGGCTGTCCAGCCACGTTCTCACAGCAGTGGCAAGATGCAAGAGCCAGCCCAAGTGCGTCACGGTAGCGTCACGTCTGCCGACATCCCATTGCCCGAAGCAAGTCATATGGGGGAACCGTCTGCTTTCTGCCAAGGGACAGGACATGTTGCCCACCCACAGCACCGAAAAGTTACACGGAAAAGGGTGGTTGCATGAGAGGGGATGGGAAATTGGGGACCAATCATGCACTTTTTCACAGAGCAAGACACATTCATCTTTCAAAGCTCTCAGGACTCCACGATGTAGTAACCTTTAAAAATTTTTTTAAAGCTTTATTGTGTTACAACAATAAACTGTATATATTTAACACACCGATTTGATGAGTTTGACACATGTACATACTCGTGAAATCCCCGTCACAGTCCAGGTAACAGACATACATATACCCGTCACCCCCAGATGAGTTCCTCTGCCCCTCGGTCATCCCTGCTCCCGTCACTCACCACCATACCTGCCTCCTCTGCCCCAGAAGAAAATTCATCTGCTTTCCATGACTATCAGTTAGTTTTCATTTTCTAGAATTGTGTCTGCTAGAATCGTACACTGTGCTCTCTTACTTCTCTGGCTTCTTTCATTCCACATAATTACACTGAGATTCCTCTGTGTGATATGTATCAACATTTCCTTTCTTTTTATTGCTAAAGAATGTTCATTGTATGGATGAATCACGTTTTGTTCCTCCATTCACCTGTTGATGAGTATTTGGATCATTTCCAGTTTGTGGCTATAAATAAAGCTGCTAGGGACATTTGTGCATGAATGTGTGCATGGACATATGTCTTCTTCTCTCAAGGGTAAACACTTTGGAGGAGAATGACCAGATCATATGGTGGCGTGTGTTCAACTTTCTAAGAAACTGCCAAGCTGTTTCCCAACGTGGCTTTGCACTCTGCATTCCTGAAAAGAGTCCCAGTCACTCCCGGACCCCCAGCCCCTGGTGCAGTCAGTTGCCCTTTTATCCTGGGCAGCTGAAGTGACACCCCGCTGTGGTTTTATTTTGTCCATCCCAATGACTAATGATGTTGAGCATCTTTACATGTGCTTACTTCTCATCCCAGCTCATCGTTGGTGATATGTCTGCTCAGAGAAAATCTGTCATAATTGGGGTCTTGGTTTTATTATGGTTGAGTTTTGAGGGTTATTTATGTGCTCTGGGCATATATTCATCAGATACATATGTGGCAAATATTTTCTCCGAGTCCGTGGCTTGTCCTGGGTGAGATTTTTTTTTTTTAAACACATTGATCACTCAATGATTGGCAAGAGCTTCACTGAGAAGGTCCGAGCTGACAGAATGAGTCAGGGTCTGATCCATTCCCTCCACAAAAATAATCAGAAAATAATAATAATAATAAGCAGAGTGGCTTGTGAAGCCTCATCAAATTCGTCCTCCTGTCCCCGGTGGCCTGGACTCCACAGTGAAGTCATCCTAAAAATCAGGATCTCCGTGGGGATGGGAGTGGCAGGGGGGAGGTGGATTGGGTCCAGAAAAGGCACACTCCTGAACCTCGCACAGCATCATTTTGCTGATACAAGATCGCCCTCTTATGGCCAAGATTCCTCCAGCCTCTGAGCTCTGCCCCTCCTGGGGCTCTGTGAGGCACTGGAAGACAGATAAATGGAAACATTCGTTTCGGCTCCCAAGTTTCTGATGAATACAAGTGTTTTCATTCGCTGGGCAAATATCCCACTGGAGATGGATGAAAATAAAACTGCGACTGGGGGAGTCGATTCCCGCTTCCCTGGATGAGGCTGCTGAGGGAGGGGAGGTCAGAGGTGGGGCTGGAAGAGAAGCTTGTGTACATGCAGGGCAGAGCTCCCATGTCCTCGGGGCCAAAGGCTTCCTGAGGGGCCCAGGCTTTCATGTGCACAACACAGGCCCTCAGCCTCAAACCCCTGAGATATGGGGTTCCTGGCTGAGGATGTCTAGGAGTGGCCATTGTCTTAGCACCTGCTGCCCCTAAGTCCAGCTCTCACCTGAATCCTCCAAACCCTCTCTGTCTGGCCTCCTACAACCACTGGCCTTTCTCTGCCCCACATTGCCCCAGGCTAGGAAACCTACCAGCCTCCTCCGTTTCCTGCAGGACCACAAAGAGGAGGCTGTGACCTGCCACTGACATTCCAGAAGGCTAGGTCAAATGCAGGGGACCGTGGCACCAAAAAAACAAAAAAGACAGACGCCTCTGCCTGGGGTTCCGGAGATCTCCCTGGCTTGCCACTCCTTTATGTGGCCCCTGACCTGCTGCTCTGGTGTTGACCAACCCTCCGAGGCTCTCTCCACCATCCCCCTAAATGCCAGATCCTCCTCATACTGCCCGCTCTCGGACAGTCACGCCTAACCCTGACTTCCTGTTGCTAAGCACGAGGCACTGAGTCCTGACCTCTGCATATGCCTAAAGGCCCAGGAAAAGAGTCACCTGGCTCAGTCCTTGGTGACACCATTGTAAGCAGCATGAAGAAGCCCTGCAATGTGGTGCTCAGGAGCCTGGCCCCGAAGCCCACATCCAAATGGCCACTGCACCAACTACTACCTGGAGAACGTTGGACAACTTCTTGAACAGCTCTGTGCTTCAGGTTCCCCATGAATAAAGGGGAAGTTATAGTTTATACTTTATAGAGTTTTCTAGAGGGTTACGTGATTTGAAACCTTTACTGGGTTTAGAATAGTGCCTGACACTTAGTAAATGCTCAGTTAGTGTTAATAAAAGTTCCTACCCACTCGCCCCACAACCGCTGGCTCTAAGTTGAATCCCGAACTGGTCTCCTTTTTCTTTAAGTGGATGATGTGCGTGGGAAGGAGTGCAGGAGATGAACATTTGCTCTTCTAGCCTAGAAAGGTCCAGGGGTCCAGGGAGGAAGGAGTTGTACTTCTGTATATACGAAGGACTCCCTGCAACATCCTCTGAGGGTTGACTGCTGAGGATGGGCTGGGCCATGATGAACTGGTGGAGGCGTGAGGGCGAGGAGAGGAGGGAAGACAAGGGACAGACAGGCAGGGGGTCCCATGGCTGGGACCGTGTTCTTTAGAGGTTTGAATCTTTACAAATCCTACAGAGCTCTGGAAATTGTCAGCGATGGAGCCGATAGAGGTAACTCATTCACTCACTCATTCTTTCCTGTGTTTATTCAACAAACACTTCCTTGAGCATCTGTTGTATGTCAGGCCCTGGCTTAACACTGAGAAGGCAGCAGGCAAACAAGACAGAAGCAATTTCTGCCTTCAGGAAACTTACATTCTAGGAGGAAGACAGACACCAAACAATGAAGAACAGATTTGACTACTTCATCAAGGGGTCTGTGTCCCCTCATGTCAGGGGCAGGAAGGGAAGGAAGAAAGTGGCTTTTCAGTGGTGATACAAAAGGAGAGAGTGTTGTAGATAAAGTGTTGGGAGAGATGGGAAAAAGGAACATCAGGTCAAGGACCAGCATATGCAAAGGTCTAGAGGTGAGAAGAAGCATGATTCTTTTTCAGGAGGAACTGTGTGGAGACCTGGGTGGCTGGAGCCTGGTGACCAATGGGGCAAGGGCCAGGGTGAAGCCAGAGAGGTTGGCATGGTCAGGTCCCACGGGGCCAGTCATATGGCTGCTCTTCATCCAGAGAGTAGAGGGTGCTCACTGAGGGGCGGTGATGGAAGGCCAGACGACCCAGGGTTGGGAGGAGCTTAGACCAATTCTCATGTGAAACGGTGGGGGCAACTCAACCTCCTTGATGATGTGATCACCAAACCTGTCACAAAACCCAGCCTCAGAGACCCCTGGAACAGGAGTTCCAGAGACACTGGTGAGATTCGTGTCTCCCTAAAATTCCAGGCACAAGATCCTGATCCCATGACCTGCAGCACAGATGCATGAGAAACATTCTTATGAAATTGATAACATGTGAATTACTAAGAGCAACTTGGCAAACCCATGGATCTCTTGGGATATTGTTTCCCCTGCCCACTTGGTTCATCTTCAGAGATTTGGGTGAGTTGGGATCTGGGAGATGAGACTACAAAATCACTGTGCCTCTGCAGGAAGATTTACTACCACGTAGGACAGAGGGACACCCCACACCTCCTGACACTGGGTGCAGGCGCTCAGGAAAGCCCAGCCAATTCTGCGAATGTTCATTCACCGATCATGCTGATTTTTAAAGGCTGGCATTTCCCAAACTGGGCGCAGGAGAACACAAGTTCTGGGTGATGGTAACTGGTGTTTTGAGAACAATGGCTGAATACGTTTAAGGAACATTACATGCAAAACACAGTGTCCTGAACACTTAGAGATGTCTTGCGTTATGAAAACTCTCCAGAGGTTGCAAAGAAAGTTCTAGAGCAGGGCCAGGAGTGGTGGCTCACGCCTGTAATCCCAGCACTTTGGGAGGCCGAGGCAGATGGATCATGAGGTCAGGAGTTCAAGACTAGCCTGGCCAAGATGGTGAAACCCCATCTCTACTAAAAACACAAAAAATAGCTGGTTGCGGTGGCATGCACCTGTAATCCCAGCTACTCAGGAGGCTGAGGCAGAGAATTGCTTGAACCCGGGAGGCGGAGGTTGCAGTGAGCCAAGATCACGCCACTGCACTCCAGCCTGGGCAACAGAGTGAGACTCTGTCTAAAAAAAAAAAAAAAAAACCAGAAAGAAAGAAAGTTCCAGGGCAGCAACTAAAACTGACTCTCACAATCCTTTCATTAAAAAGGGAAAGTTGAACCAAAAGTAAAAACAACACATTTCATGGTAAATGGCCTTTCCAACAAAGGACACATGGCTACTTGACACTGACAGTTACAGCTACAGTGACCTTATTCTTCTCATTTAATCATGAGCCCATCACAATTTCTTTCATTTTATATATTTATTTTTTTAGAGACAGGGTCTCATTCTGTAGCCCAGGCTGGAGTGCAGTGGTGCAATCGCAGCTTACTGCAGCCGTGAAGTCCTAGGTTCAAGTGATTCTCCCACTCTCGCCTCTCAAGTAGCTGGGACCACAGGTATGCACCATCACACCCTACTAACTTTTTTATTTTTTGTAGAGATGGAGATTTTGCTATGTTGCTCAGGCTGGCCTCGAACTCCTGGCCTCAAGCAATCCTGCTGCCATGACCTCCCAAAGTGTTGGGATTAGAGGCATGAGTCACTGTGCCCAGCCCTTCCATCACAATTTCATCCCAGACTGCCATGGCATTCATTGGGGTAAGTCTGTTCATTGGCCCCAGTCACGACTCGAGAAACTCATTCACTGGCCCCTTCAGAGCATAAGGGGCCTAGTGTGAGGCCTTTATTAACAAAGGTTAATTTTCCTGCTCTCCACTGAGGTTCACACCTCCTACTGTGGTCTGAATGTTAGTGTCCCCCCAAAACCACATG